TCAGTTTGTTACTATGGTGAATTCACTTGATTGGTTTTCAAATAGTGAGACAACTCTGCATTCCTGGGATAAACTCCACTGGTACATTATGTATTGTCTTTCTTTAATATATTGCTGGATCCATTTGTTGCAGTTTTACTTAAAAATTTCACATGTGTTCATGATACATTTTGATTGGTTGTTTCCTTTTACTGTAATGTTTCTCTCATGTTGGTTTCAGGATAATGCTGACCTCATAGAACCAGCTGGGAAGTAATCCCTCCTTTTGAATTTTCTGGAATAGTTTGTAGAACTGGAATTATTTCCAGTGAAGATATCTGTCTTAAAGTTTTGTGACAATTCTTTTTATTACAAATATAATTTTATTAATAGATATAAGGTCATTCATAATAAGGTAATAGATATAGGATTTTTCTATTTCTTAAGTGAACTTTGGTTTTGCATCTTTCAAGGAACTTCTCCATTTTATCTATTTTGTCCTACTTAGTGGAGTAAAGTTGTTCCTAAAACTCCCTCATTATCCTTTTCATTTCTTCAGATCCTGTAGTGATAAAATCTTTCTTATTCATGATATTAGTAATTTCTGTCTTCAATTTTTTAGTTTGGGTAGAAGTTAATCAATTTCATTAATCTTCTCAAGAATCAGTGTTCGGTTTTATTGACTTTTCCCTGTTTTGGGGGTAATTCACACTGATTTTGACTCTAATATTTGTGCTTTCTTTTCTTCTCCCTACTTTAGAGTTTACTTGTTCTTTTTTTCTAGTTCCTTAAGGTGAAGCCGAATGACTGATATGAGGCCTTTCTTCTTTTCCTATTATAGGCATTCAACATAAAAACAAATCTCTCTACTGCTGTATCTGCAGCCCACAAATAGCGGGATGGTGTTCTCATTTTCCCTTAGGTCAAAATACATTGAAACTCACCCTCCTTTTGTTTCTTCTTTACTATGGATTATCTGGAGGTGTATTATCTAGTTTCCAAACATTTGAGAGAATTTCCATATAGAATTCTGTTACTGATTTCTAATTTAATTTCATTGTAGTCAGAGATTGTACTTTACATGATCTAAAGTATATCAAATGTGTCAATACTTGTTTTGTGGCCTAGAAAATGGTCTTTTTTGATAAATAGTCTGTGTGTGCTTGAATATCTATTTTGCTGTTATAGGGTGGTGTGTACTACAAATGTCAATTAGGTCATACTGGTTGATGGCATCATTCAAGTCTTCCATATTCTTACCAAATTTCTTTTTATTTGTTCTACAAATTATTTAGAGAAGGCTATGAAAATTTATAAATATACTGTACATTTGTCTATTTTTATCAAACATAGTCGTTTTGAGTAATATTCTTTGTCTTAACATCTATCTTGCTGATATTTATGCATTTTTCACTTCAGCTTTCTAATGTTTGCTCACATGATATCTTTTCCATTCTTTTTCCTTCAGCCAACATACTTATTTGTATTTAAAATGCACCTCTTGCAGGCAAGTCCATAGATAGGTTTTGCTCTTGTATTCAATTTGCCAATCTCCGCCTTTTGTTTGGAAAAGTTTAGTCCTCTTTCACTTTGAAATTACTGATATAGGCTTGCTATTATGCTTTTTTTTTTTTTAAACATTTTATTTCAAGACATTTGGAGATCCACATTGAGTGAGGATAATACAAGTAGCTCTTGTACAGTCTTTAGACAGTGTCCCCTGCCATGGTAACATCTTGAACGTTTGTATAATATCACAGCCAGATAATTCACATTGATAGAATGGCGATAGAGAGCATTTCCATCACCACGGAGATCCCTTGTATAGCCACACATACTATACTTCCCCCACATTCCCACCCCACCCTAACCCCTCGCAACCACAAATCATTATCTATATCTGTAATTTTATCATTTGAAGACAGTTATATAAATGGAATCATACAGTATGTAACCTTTGGGGATTGTCTTTTCTTCATTCAAACAATTCTCTGGAGATCCATCCAGGATCTTGAGTGTATCAACAGTCTGATCCTATTGCTGAGCAGTATTCCATGGTATGAATAGATCACTATTATTTAACCATTCACCTTGCAAAAAACATCTGGGTCGTATGAGGTTTAGGCTATTACAAATAAAGCTTCTATAGACATTTTTCTACAGAATTTTGTGTGAAAACAACTTTTCACCTTTCTTGGAAAAATGCCCAGTACAATTGCTGGGTCTTAAGTTAGTTATATGTTTAGGTGTTTTCCCCTTTTAGTTTTAGTTGACAAGTAATACTTGTACACACTTATGGAGTATAGAGTGGTATTTCAGTGGATAATTACAATGTGTAACGATCAAATCAGGGTAATTAGGATATCCATCACCTCAAACATTTACCATCTGTTTGTGCTGGGAACATTCAGAATCCTCTGTTCTGGCTTTCTTGACATATACGATAAATTACTGTTAACTAATCTTCACTCTACAGTGCCACAGAACACTAGAACTTATTCCTTCTATTTATCTGTAGTTTTGTATCTCTTAACCAACCTCTCCTTATCTTCTTCTCCTCCCTACCCTTCCCACCTAGCCTCTAATTACCACAATTCTACTCTACTTCTACGAGCTACTTCTTTGAGCTTCCACATGAGTGACAACATGCACTATTCATCTTACTGTGGCTGACTTATTTCGCTGAATGTATCCAGGCTCATCCATGTCTAGGCTTGCCATTATGCTCTTTCTTTTCCCCACTGTTTTATTTTTTGAGTGGTTTTGCTAGGGATGACAACAAGCATCTTTAACATATCATGATTTACTTACCATTTAAATTGGGTTATTTCTAGTAAATCATACATTTCCATGGTTTACTCAATTTTTGTGCTATTGTCATGTATGTTTAATTTCTGTCATAAACTAAAAAATATAATGGTATCACCTTTGCCCTAATGTCTTTTAAAGATTTTCAGAGAAGAAAAACGCATAGTGATTAATATCCACATATTTACCATTTCCAGCGCATTTCAGTATTTCTTGTATATCTGAGTTACCATCTGGCATCATTTCTCACCAGCTGATAGAACTTCTTGTCCATCTTGAAGTATAAATCTGTTACCAACAAATTATCTTAGATTTTGTTGATCTGAAAAATGTATTTTTGGCCTCCATTTTAAAAAGATAATTTCATTAAATATATAATTGTTGATTTTTCTTCTTCAGCACTTTGAATTATCATTCCAGTGTCTCTTAATTTCCACTATTTATGTTGAGAAGTCAAATGTTATCTTTTTTTTCTCTTATTTTCAAGATTTTCTCTTAATCTTTGATTTTACCATTTTGACTATAATGCGCCTTGCTTTGGTTTTCTTTGGGCGTACCCAGTTGGATTTGTTGAGCTCAGCAGATCTCTAAGTTAGTAGTTTTATCAAACGTGAGAAATTTTTGGCCAACATTTCTTCAATATTTTTTCTGTCGTGTTCTTTTTTTTGTTACATCTAATACTAAAATTTTGCATGTGTTGAACTACTTAATGTTACATAAGTCTGTGATGTTGGTTATTTTTCAATCTTTTTGGTTCCTGTTCTTTTGATTAACTATTCTCTCTTGATCTATCTTCAAATTCACTGAATTTTCTGTTCAAATGTCGTTTTCATCTCAAAATTGTTGTTGAGTACATTTAAGTAATGTTCATTTCATTTATTATACTTTTCATCTCTAGAATTTCCATGGGGGCTGGAGTGTTTCTACTTCTCTGCTAAGATTCCATCTCTCTTCACTCATGGATACCATGTTTTCTTTTAATCCATTGAATATATTTTTCTTAAGCCTTTGAATGTATTTGTAATAGTGGCTTTGCAGCCTTTGGCTGCTAAATCCAACATCTGGACCTACTTGAATCGATTTCTATTAACTTATTTTTTTCAGAGTATTGGTCATACTCTCTCATTTTAGTTTGCATCTCTGAAACTTTTTTGCACATTGTAAATGATATTTTGAAGTGACTGTAGAACCTGTTTCATTCTTCTGATTGCTAATGTGCTGTTCTAGGAGACAATTAATATGCCTGAATTTCCTGTCATGTGCAGCAGCTAGTATCTCTGCTTAGGAGCCTAAACAAAGGCCTCAAAAGATCAATTACACATCTTAGAATTTTAGGATTTTTAGGGATTCAAAATTCAGAAATTAAAAAATTTTAATTAGGAATGTTTTTCTTATTATGTCATGTTGGGTTTTGTCACTTTTCTTTTAAGTCTTACAAATCCATTATAATTCAGCTATATAGTACAGAATGGCAATATCTCACTTTGTTGTAAATGCAAATCCATATTTCAGATATCTAATAAAAATTTTCATAAATATTTCAAAAATTATGAAAAAAGTTAAGTGGAAGATGTCAAATTAAATTGAAAAATCAGGATATTAAAATATACTATAATGTTTGGAATTAAATTCTACTTCATTGATAGTATAGTTTTATTTCTCTAGATGAAATAATTTAAGATACCAGGATAATATTTTAATAAATTTAAAATAAAAATTCTTAAAGAATCAGAACTACTGTAACAAACTGAAACATTTGTTGCTTAAAAATATACCATATTGGATAGCATAGGGTTAATACTCACTTAGTTCTCACAACACACCATGCCTCTTCTAAAACATAATAATTCACATGTAACTCTGACAATTTATCTCTTACTTCTTTGGCAGATTTTCGACTATATGTAGAATAAACTATTTTTGTCCGGGCCCTTTAAATTTAAACAATAGTTTAAAAGATTTTAAAATGAATGATAATAGAATAGACTAAAAAAATCTTACTAGCAAATTGAAATC